TGTGAAAGCATGGATACTGCATTTTACACACATCTGCTCCCTTGGGAATCCAACTGGCTGATGGGGTTGCTTGGAGACAGCACTGGTGTCATGCAGGTCCTGTAAATATGTTCTGGGTCATCTTTGGACAGCCTTGCACTGGTCCTGAGCCAAAACTGTCTGGTTTGGCCAATGTGACCGCAAAGACCATCAAGGTCCGGTGCCCAGGGATGTTCTCTGGCACTGTTTCAAGTGACAAGTATGGATGCAACTATAGTGCCGAGGCTGCATTTGATTATAGCAAGGGGTGAGTTGCCAAACTGCTCACATGGGACAGTGCAGAGAATAAGCGAAAGAAAGAGGACTCTAGTGTGTAACCACTAGGTTTAGGTGGATGCTGAATATTTGTTGTTGAACTTTTGAGCCATGTCTTAGGTTTTTTTATTTGTCCCATTTCATCTCATGTTCACCAAGCAGCTTGGGAAAAAAGCAAGGGGCAGTTTGTGTCCCAGGGAGAATGTCTCCACTGGGTTTGTTTTTTGGGGTGTAAATGCTCTTGTGGCTGATGTGGTGTATTCCTAATATATTCCTGTGCTAGCCTTTTCAAATACAACCCAATATATTTATTTCTACATATATTGTTATCAAAAAGGAGTTCTGTAGATAAAATTTTAAATATCATTATTACAGTTTGCAAAAGCAACATGATTTGGCTAAAGAAAAATCTATTTCTAACAAAAATTTTAACTCAATAAATATTTTTTTCTGGATTTTCTTTGATTTTGGAAAACAGTATAATCTAAGTTAATTCATTAATATAATACCATTAAATCCAGCTAGAAATAAAAAGTATTAATAGAAATATGAATTGATTACAATTGGGTAAAAAGCTACTATTTCTTCAGTATCCAATAATGGAAGAAATTAAAAAATGAACATACAGTGCATGGAAGAAAATTATGCAAGAGCAGCATTAAGTTTCATACTAAACCAACAACAACCCTCTGCAAAATAACACAATGTCAAGTGATGCAAACAAGTCTTCCTGATTAACTGTGCAGGTTGCTAACTAGATTGTTAATTAGTGCAACCTCCCATTTAAGCAACCATTTATGTAAGATTTTTCACAGCATTCTGCACTGCATAATCCTACTGAAGCTGTAAAAAGCAACTGGTGTTGAGTTTGGGTATGGTTGGCATATTTATTAGACCTGAGGAAAAAACTTTAAAAAATTAAAGCTATTAAATGTTTCAGTCCAAATAAACTCCAGTAATAGTGCTGAAACTCTATGAAAAGATAATTTATCATCCATATAGCAGCACAAATGATTGTTGTAAGTCTTCATGGTATTTTTTAAAAAACTGACGAAGCCCACTAACATTTTCTTTGGGCACTAGCTAAGAAAGGCTGGCTAACATTTGAACAGCAATGGTGTTATACAATATAATATTCATACTGAAATATCTCGATATCTGAAATGGTCATCAGTCAGTGGATATCATTAGAACAGGCTTCAGCCTCTTAACACAACCGGAAGCAAGTAGCTTGCTATGAATATGGGAGCAGAAAAAGGGATGGGATAGAAAAGTTATGTATTTATTTATTTATTTTAACTGGCAGTAGTCATACTTACTTATAAATAGCATCCCAACTTAAGTACTGAACACTCCCAAATACTGAGGGCAGAAGGAAGGCTTGCTTGGCCTTGCTGGGATAAACAGCGTAGAACACAAAATAGAAGAATTGTAAATCTTCTCAGTGGTTGGTGAGTAATAAAACCTCTGCTGGTGTCACCCACAGAGTTAGGAATCTTGCATGGAAAATAAGCATTTAAATAGAGCCGCTTTTAAAAATGGGATAAAAATGAAAGCGCCAGGGGCAAGAATGCAGAAGTAGGGGAGCAGTTTAAAAAAAAAAAAAAGAAAAGAGAAAGGAACAAGGAAGCAAAAGCAAAGGACAGAAAGCCGTGGTCAGAGGAACAAGGAAAAGAGGAATAATTATAGGAAACAGGAAGTAATCAAGAAAGCAAGCAGAACATCTCAGGTGGTAAAAGGAGGCACTGACAACAAAAAAATAAAGATATCTTTGGATCAATACTAAAGAAGAAACTGGGCTTACCTGTATGAGCTGGAAGGTGTGTGATGGCATCATCCTGGGCAGGAGAATGTGAAAGACGCTGAGATGCAGGAAAAGGGAAGGGAGCTTGGCAGGGTGTCCCTTCTGTCAGCAAGAAAAGGGGATGGGAGCCCTGGATTCTGTGTCTGTGTTTTGTGTACATTTTCCACTTGAAGTGTACCCGCACGCAATTGAAGGATCAGGCAACTTTTTGTGCTAAGAACTGAAAATCAGGAATCAGGCCAAAAAAAGAATTAAAAGGTAGGAAAAAAATCAAGTGCTGATTTTTCTTTTCTTTGTCTCATGATGCTTGAGCTGTAGGATTTGGTGATATTACAGAAAATGCAAATCATGTAAAGTTTCTTAAAACCCTTGGTATCCACCTAATTCACATTACATTCACATTCGTGCTGACATTTTGCATAATTCCTTTCTGCCTAACAGTGAACATTTGAAGTTTAAGCAATATTTGTGTCTTAAGAAAAAATATAAACAGGTGGTTTCCTATATTCATTTCAACAAGGCCCACAACATAAAAAGCCTTGAGCAGGAAACTCTGTACTTTTAATAACAGCTTAACCCTCTATTTCAAAGTGCTTTAGAAGAAGGCAAATAAAGATAATTTAACAAATTCTATGTACGTTCAGAAGCCAGCTAGCTAGCATGAAACATAAAGAAGAAAGACTCTGTGAGATCATTGTAATTTTGCCCCACCCAGGCAAAGAAGGGGACCTGGGGCTACCATGCTGCTGCTCTGCACAAGGCTACGACACACTGCAGTGGCATTCTGCAGTACCGTGGCTAACCTGAGTGGCACAGAGAACTAACTCTTCGAGCTGACTAGGATGCTGGAAACTGCTTAGTGTGAGCCTTCAGCTGCACTACTACCTCATTTCTTAGCCGGGCTGAGTAGTCGAGTTGGAGGGCTTGGAAAGCGATCCTGGTGAATGAAGGGCTATCCCGGGTGAATTCTTTCAGAGCTGGTTTGGGTATCTCAGCCTGGCATATTCCCAGACCATATGCACATAAGGGTTTAATTCTGGCAAAAACCAAACCTGACTCAAAACCATGACAACAGCTTGCTGTTGAGATGGGAGTTGGGAGACAGCAAATGATGAAGTGTCCATTAATATAGACCATTCAATTCTAGAATTTGTCCCCAGTTTTTATTGTTTCAGAATATAATCAGAACTATTATTTAAATTATCACTATCCCCTATCTGCCTCCTTTTTATTACTGTAAACATGGTATATTTAAAATACACATTTTGAATGCTAAAACTCTTTAAACACAAGGTGTTTTCTCTCTTTGTGTTTAATCACAAGTAGAGGCAAAGAGGAGGAAGAGAAGACAGTGAGAGTCCTAATCTAGGAAAGTACTAAAAATACAAATAATTTAGCTTTAGCAGTTTGGGTTTATATACAGGATTAATGGGTATGTGCCGCAAACTGTTCTCTGTTCATGCCTTCCTTTCGGACATTAAAAATGGGGATAAAATATTTTCTGTTTCACAAGATAAATCCATTACTATTCATGGAATCTAAGATATCATTGTGATGAATGCCATGAGAAACTAATAGTTCTGGGTGAAGCACAGGCTTGGGAAGATTTGCACTAAATAAAGGAGTGGCCAGAAACTGAATGAGCAGGGCTGAACAGCTGTCTTTTCTGTTAACTCTCATCCAGCCCATGCACTAAATGAGGCGGGGATCCTGTGGAAAAAAATACTGAGCCATCATGTAATTATAGTCTGTGCACGCATTTAAAGACGCATCCACACAAGGAGGCAGAACTGAGGCTGTGCAAATACAAACTCATTTCTTGCACCTCCGAGCATTTGAGTGCTTCTCTCTGTAGTGAAGCTGCATGCAAGAACTTTTCCATGTAGGATGATCTGGGGCTGCAGTACAGAATTCATAAGGGTATCCTTTTATGGGTCCACTAGTTTCCTCAGAAGTTGTCTTATTTGACATAAAATATACGCAGGCAGACACAGACACACATACACGTGTACCCCCAGACACGTTTACACCTGTATCTGTCATGAAGTAATGTGGTGGGCACAGGCTAATCTAATTCACACAGTGAATCTAGGTTCCTCTGCTGAATTTCCTTCCCAAAGCACTGATCTTCACAGTGGAGGTGGATTATGCAAGAAAATCACACATAGAGGAGGGTTTTGTTACCACCATGGGAGGAGTAGCCAAGGGATATGCAATTAATGTGGAGCGAGAATATAAACCTCTTACACAGGAATGCACAGGAGATCAGCTGCATTCCTGCAGTCCAGCCCCTGTGGTAACACCAGAGAAATGCTTTAAAACTCCTGGATTAGTCTTTTTTGCCCTCCCAGTTTTGCTTAGCCTGTTTACTGGGAGTGTAGAGGTACAACACAGATGGAACCAGCTCTGTTTACCTTAACTGGGGTGTTCTAATCTAATGAACAGTCTAATTTTTCTGTCAATATTTTTATGTTTTCACTGCTGAATATTTTAGCAGGCACAGCCAAATACTCCAGGATTATAGTTGAGTTTGGAGAGGGAAAAATTTCAAGAGAGAGAACATATTTCTTTTTCTTTTTTTTTTTTTTTTTTTTTAATAATAAATTACAGGTGAGAAACCCTTAAAATACAGACTTCCTTAAACTGCCTAAGTATAGGATTTTCCTGTCCGGAAGATTTTCTGCTTGCATTTCACTTGCTGGATAGTATCTAGATTGACAAACAAATGCCACATTGTACTTGTGCTGCCTTTGCAGCAATAAAATTGATAATAATAAATAAAAATAAATAATAAAGTTGATTTTTACTCTGTTTGCTGCTCAGTGGTAATTTTCAGAAGTTATTGTTCAGCTACTCTTCTTCTACATTGGCAGAAAATTATGTACCCACATTTCTTGTCAGAAAGCACACTTTTTATTCAGAGAAAGAAAAAAAATGCATCCAGTTAATTGTATTGGTGAAGTAATGAAAAGAAAAAACATACAATACCACTAATTTTTCAGTGTGTCGTACCTTATAAATACATTTCAACACCCTATATTATATTTGATCTGTCAAAACAAGACACAGATTTTCAGCTTAAAGTATCTTATGATTATTTCTTTTGATGATTTAATGTATCATACAACCAATTCAGCCAGTATAATTAGTAAGGAAATACAGTACCTACAACACATCAAGGTTAAGAACATGGAAAATATATGACCAAAAAATCTCACAAAGAATAAAATTCACTTGTTTTTCAGGGGGGAAAAAGAGGTTTGTGTTCCACCAAAGTCCTTTATTACAAGATAAACTATATTCAGAAGGGAAGTTCCTTTGTTGGTCTTACTGCAACACATGAAATTCTACCAGCAGTTAAAACTAAACCAAGACTGGGCATATATGTTAGAATTTAACACAAACTCTATTTGAGATAATTAGCTGTGTAAAGCATGAAATGATTTATCCTATTGTTAACTGACAAGTGGTTGTGCATTTCTAAATGTCTGCATTCCCTCTCAGTTCTTTGGTATATCACTAATTTAATGCAGATATCCTCTTGAATGCCCCTGAAAAATAAGTAAACCACCAGCAGTGACATAGCCAAATAGCCAGACACATTTATTGTACTTAATATACAAGGTCATGTTTTAAATTTGGGTGTTGGTGCTGATGTTTACCCATAAAATTGGTATTTGTATGCCTGGATGCTGGTTGACTAGAAAATACAGGACAGGAAACAAGTTTACATATAGCTTTTCAGTGTATTATCAGTGATTTTAAATACAGTATAAAATAGCTTATAGGCTATTATCTCTACAGTTAATTTTATATTTGATATCCCCATAGCATTATACCTCCTTAGAAATTTACTGTATTTTGAACCATCAATGAAAGGCGCTTGTGTAAGGTGAAATCTCAGTTCTGCTGGGACCAAGACTCACTTCAACGGAGACAAAATGTTTTTACATTTATAAGCTAAACCTGCTGTCTTGCTACATTGCACTGTATCCTTAAGGACTGTAGGATACTTGATGATCAAGAGGAGCTGCTTACACTGATCTAGACACATTGGTTGTTGCAGGTTTTCAGTAATCTTGCACTACAGCAAAAGCATCATGCATTACAAATACATGTTCCATTTTCTGCATGCTCACTCTCTTTATTGGGAGAGCACTGTAAATGTGTTTTGGTTTCCAGTGAGTTCTGATATGTAAGTGCAAAGTGATATTTATTATTATGATTCATCCATTCCTTTTACTTTGATTTGCTACTTGCTCATTCAAAGAACAGCATCACCAGTGATCTTTAGGAATAAATGTTGTTTCCACAGTGGATAAGCATTAAAACATTTAAATTCTATACTCTCATTTAGCCAAGTCTAGTACAAAATACAGTACTTAGAAGAAAAAGATCAAAATGGTGTGATAAATCTACATGCATATTCTAGAAGTGATTCCAAACCAGTTTATAATCAGTTTATAGGTCCATTTTAATGCCTAAATTACTATAGTGACAACAACATATCTTCAAACTAAACAGAAATTAAGTCTTAACCTAAATTTTTTGAATAAATTTTGAGCAACACTATACTATAAAGTAGACTCATCTATGGTTTATATCTCAGAGTACTGTATGTAACACATATAACATCATTACTATTTTACTATTAATATTAGTCAAAGATTACTTACAAAACGGTCAAATGAATTTTAGAAAATGGTATTCTATCATTAGTACAACGTAGAGAAAGAAACTTCAGCAATAGTGGTACATGGCTGTACATGTCAGTATAGCTAAGGCTATTGCAGTTGGAGTGGCAGGTCAGCAATGATGATGTCTTCTCTGATGCCCACTTTTGATTTCCTGTTTTTACAACAGGATGTTATCATCAAAGGAAGCATTTATTTTCAGGATACTGCCCTCCCCAGAGTGGCAGTCTCTGGTGTTTAATAGACCAGAGCCAGAGTAAAACCTGTTCCCAGAGTCTGTTGTTCCATTCATAGACCTGAACTGGCCTCTTTGGGTGTAGCTAGTTGAAGAACTGTTTTTACATGGACTGTCATAAATGTGGAAAAGAAGTTGAAAATTATAATCTTAACTTTAGCTCATATTCCCTGAATTTTAATTACTCAGATAAATGGCAATACAAATGTCATACAAAGCAAGAGGTGACAAACCCCTGAAATCCTAAAAAAAGGTTAATAGCACGTTTAGAAGAGTGTAACCGATTAACTTATAACCAGATTTAGTGACTTTTCTTGCTTTCACAATTAGGAAGTCCAAAATAGATTTTGATCTTCAATGAAGCTATTACTTGCATAGAATTCTACATCAGTCATTATCATAGATGCAATCTGAAATTGAGATAAAATACAAAAATATTAGTATTGTTTAGTATTTTGACTCAAGGATATATTTGGTGTAATTGAATATAGTTATTGTATTGTTTGAAATATCTAACATACCATCACCAATATCATCGTAAATATCTCCATCGCTGTAAGTTAAAAAAAAAGAAAAATAATGTATTAAAAAATTGAGAAATCAGATATATATTCCTATTTGCATGCAAATACAAAATAGTATAACTGTATGGTACAGTCATGGATCAAGTAATTAATTTGCTAATTACAAAAGTGCAACCTTTGTGGCAACAGAACAATGTTGAGAAAGATGGTCCAGTTAAAGGATTTTCAGTGAAGGGTAGAGCTGGATACATTTCTTTCTAACATGAAAGGCTCACTTTATTAACGGGTTGTTTTAAAATTAGGGTTTTAAGCAGTTATTCTAACAAATTCATAGAGATATGTCCATAAAAAATTAAATACTTACTGATTTTTAAAATGAAAACCAGAAAAGATGAGTAAAAAAAATCAGTGTACCCTTGAACTTCTTATTTGTTTCTGTATTTGGCTATGCCATAATAGTTTTGTAGAAGCAGCTTTTTAGATAATGAATTTAGGTAATGTCTATAAATGATACATGCTCCATGAATAGGAAATTTCAAAATATGTCACTTAGATACATGAACAGGCCTATGGAAGCCAATAAAACTATTTATAAGTTTAACATGTGTATAAGTGTTTGCAGGCCTCAATTCTAAATGTGACATCTGATTTGATATTTAAGGGTCTAACATAAAGCCCTTTGAAGGAAATAGAAAGGCTTTGTCTGATGAGAGTTTTGGATCAGAGCCTAAATGCTGAACTCCATGCAAATATTTGGAGCAACACTGAGCCAAATCTGCTCAATCCCAGTAAGACTGAAATAAAAATAAACCTAAAGAAAAATTGGTCCATTTGACTTAAACATTTGAAAATGGCATCAATACCCTTAATCACATTAATGTGCTGTTCAGTAAGATTCTAGTACCGATAATGTTTAATTTATGTAATTTTTCATCATTTAAAATAGAGTTTATGGTTAAGCAATGAGGATGGGGCCATGGAAATTCTCCAGTATGGATGTATGTGACTAATGCCTGAGAAATCTAAACTCCATAAAAATAACTTAATTTGCAGGACTAGAATGACATACTAAAATAATTACATTTCACTTTTATTGAACAAACAGTTTAAAACAAAATTGAGTGTTGTAACAAACTTTTCAAGAAGATCACTTTGTACTTACTTCTCAACTAAATTGCTTCTCAGAACATAGCCATCTGTAAAATTGAAAGATACATGTATTTCAGTTAAATTTAAATATTCATGTTACTTGTTCTGCTGCTAGCACTAGTGAAATGCGTTTGTTCTGTTTTAGATATTTCAGAGAGAAAGACAGATGGATAGTGATGTACAATGAATATGTACTTGAGGAAAATTTTGCTATGTCCAGTTTTAGTTTTAATTATTCTTGTCTGCTTGTTTAGTATAACATGGTGCCTTAGATACAAAATCAGAATACTACAGTAGCTCCAAGACCAGTTAGATGTCTACTGTGTAAGGTGCTTTCCATATTCATAAAATGTTGTTTCTCTTGTGTTGTTGCAATAGTTTCCATTGTACACAAAACTAGTACAGAAAGGAGAAAATAGTAATTCAGGTTATGCAAGATTAGGTTTTCATTTTATATTTTAGTTTCCTGGTTGCATGACAGGGGTGTGAAGCAATAGCTATTAACACAAAATGTAGTACAGTTCACAAATTACAGCATAAAAAAACCCAAAACAAAACAAAACAACATATAATAATATTTATAATAATAAATAACAGAAATATGTATAGTTTCCTACAGGGCCAAAAATGTATTTCAATATGTATACACTAATTAATAATCATTAACTGTAATTTAAAAAAATTTTCTAAGTGTTTCATATTGATAAGCACTGTTTATATAAATAAGGGAAATACCTTAGAAAAGCTACTCACTGGTGAATTATTCCATTACTCTGTTGCATTACTAATGAAATCAGATAAAACCACACATATTCATTAATATATTCAATCTCTTGAAAAAATTACTTGCTGTCTTCAGTAAAACATATCTGCTGAAATACTTGTCAATTGGTTTAACACATACAAGCAAAGAGAAAGCCATAACTATTACGTATTTGCAGTCAAACATTAGTGTGTTTGTACAAAATATGACAGATCTAAAGGAGAAATGTGATTTTCTATTATATTTGAAATTACTGTATAAGTTTTCTTCTTTTATTCATTGGGGGGCTTAACTGGTCACACTCAAATGACAGGGTTTTAGTAATTCATACACAATTCACATATTTTAGAATAAATGTATCAACTTGACCTGAAAAGTTCCTTGAATTCTTGGTGCTGCTATTGCTCCATGTACTTAGGGGAACAGTTATATAGTACAGAAAGTATCAGTTTTCTGCTAGCATTTCTGGTGGAAATCCTTCAGGTCAGTCTAGGTGAATCCTCAGATCTTATAATTTTTACCTTTAAGAATTATGTCCTCCTTCACATGGATTTTTCTTTTCTGATACACAAGACATGAAAATATCTTGCATTTTAAAATGCACAGTAATGTCCAGTTTAAGAGTCTCATAATTTGTGTTAAGCCTTTTACACATCCAAGCCCTAATTTTGTTATAACTGAAACAGACTTTTTCAGAATCTCTAACTTTGCTAGTAGGGGAAACCTTCCATTGTAAATTGGCATCAGACAAAATGAGCTAGTACTGTTCCCAAAAGCTGCTGAACTGTCACAGTCTTCAACTGGCCAATGTTTTGATATATAAAAATACCCTATGATTCCTATACAGAGTATTGGAAAAGTTGTCTGGCAAGACTAGTATCCCCAATAGTCCTGCAAATAGTAATAAGAAACTAATTCTTATATACAGCTTTTCTTCATAAAGAAACATTGGCATGATTAATTTTATCTTGGTGTATTTCCATCTTAAAATAGGTAGTTATTAGATATTGATATAAATCTCAAATGTAAAGAAGATTTTTTTTCCAGAATATGCTGGATATAAAGTAGATTAGTGATTTGCTTTGTAAAGGCCATAATACATTAAAAACACTGCATTTCCAAAGAAAACTTCTGTCTTGTGCTAGAACTGAATATTGCCTAAATGGATTAATCTCATGTGATAATATTTTGTTTGACAATGATCTGCTTTAGCTTCTGTTTAAGATTTAAGTTACATGAATAAAAAAATAGTTCTATGCATTTAATATTTGATTGCAGCTATGTATGATAAAATTTGCTTAATTTGCCTGTATTTTTATCTTTAGGGTCATGACAACTGGATACTGACATAAATTCTATTATAAATTTTGCCTACTAGAAACTTGTTAAACTGCAGGTCATCTCTGATAGTCAAGGAACCTAGTACTGCAGATTTTGTCACCTTCATATGCTTTCAGACTGATTGCAGGTTGGTACACATCGGGAAAGCTCTGTCTGTTCAGGATATTCTTAGCCTGGCTGTTGTTCCACTGATTTTATTTTCTGAGATAAAGGCATGGAAATTGTTGTTTTTTTTAAGATGTCATCTCTTTTATATTGTCTTTAAGCAGAGTTTAGTAGGGTCCTGAACTCCTGACATCTCCTGGGAATCATTTAAAGTCATTTGGCTAAGCTAATCTTCTCTATTTTTTCTTTTAATTTTTTCACATGAAATACATGAGAGCAAAATTTCTTTGCTTACAGTCATGGTGTACAAACACAGCATACTTGCAAGCCAGACATCATTGTGACAGTCCTACTACTGCAAAGCATATTCTAGGTTCTTCCGACAGTCCCTAGCCCCTAAATACATGGGAGATACATCTCACACTCATTCGAATTTACTAATCCAAAGGTTTTGTTTCTAACTAAAATATTCATATTTAAGTGACTTCTGTAACAGGGAACAAGGCAGCAGGTCAGCACACTGCATCCTGATTGCTTAGTACTACTGAGAGCTATGACACATCAGGCCAGCTGCTCTCTGATGGTGTAAAGGAAGCTTGGAGGGGACGCAACTTAAATTTTCAGGCACTGAAGTCCATTTATATCCTAATACTTAAGCAAAATTTATGAAAGTGAATTGAAGGGTTCTGTGTATTTCAAAAGGTCCATGGGTCAGACCAAGGCAACGGTAAGAAGGAATTTGAGAAGGTAAATAAGAATTAGTTCCTTCTTTCAGTTTTGAAATTTCAAAATAAGATTATCAACCCTTGCTTAAAAAGGTGGCAAGACACTGTAACATAATTTGCAATTTTGTTTAACTGCCAGTAAAGGCATGAATCTATGAAAGTGCTTCATTAATTAACAATTAAATGGAAGAATTCATGTGTGAAAACATCTTTAATTGTTGATTTGCAGTCTTATCTGGCTTTCCAAAGGTAAAATCAGAGCTTTAAGGTATGATAAACTAAAGCCACTAGAGCAAACAACCAAAACTGTCATGCACTTAGGATTCAAACTTCACTAATTAATGTGAAAATTGACAGAGATCTATTCAGAGGTTTTCAGGGAGGATATTATTATTTGTTTTGCTCTATTATGCATAGCAAATCAGTAGCTCCTGTCACTATTTCAGAGGCTTTGAAGACTATGTGAGGAAAACAGCCAACATGAACTACTTTCTTCTTTGTCATTAGCTTGATTCAAAAAATGCAGCATTGAAAGTTGCTCTTTGGGAAGTGGCTACACTAGTGCAATCCATATTTTGAAACATATGTCTTATGCAAGAAGTTCTTCCTCATCCTTCAGGCCTGCCAGGAAGAAGGCTTTACTCCAGACTGTAACAGTTGAGTACAGAGAGAAAAAAAATAGAAGGAAAGAGACTGAATCCCCTTCAGAGGTTTATAGCATTTGACTGTCTTCTACATAGGTCAGAGGTAAAAAGTAAAGGTGAGTGGAAGGATACTGCTACTTGGAATGTATTCTGTTCCTACACAAAGTCAGTTTTCATTAGGAGATCTGAAAAGTATTGTAACAGCAGCACATTAAGAAATTGAAACCAACAGTAGATGGTCCGGACTTCTCAAAAAATGCAGGAACTTCTGCCAATGCACACCCTGGCCAAGGGTTTCAAAGAAACACTGAAAGGCCTCATGTGGCTCCCAAAACAAGCAGGCATGCCAATGAGGACATATGCCTTGAATCAACTAGGGGCTGGGGGGAAGGCTCCTAAGCAGTTTCCTCCCCCTGGCCTGTTGAAAAGATTAAACTCCGCCTCTGTCAGTCCAAAGTAAGAATATTGTTATTGATTTTCCCTTGGCTGCAATCAAGGGGCAAGTGCTTCCCAGAAGTGCAGCAAGGATTTAACTTTTACTAGATTCTGTAAGATTTCATAGCTGTACACTTTTGGTCAAACAGAGGGAGACAGAAGCAACAAAACTTCTGTTAATCTTAGTTGATGCAAAGCATGATTTACATAACTAAGTTGTCCTTTTTCTCACATTTGGTATTTCTTATCTACTGGAGTTTTAAATTTTTAAGGCAAGCTGCTCTTAAAACACAATAATAAAATAACAGGAATTTACCTCTTGTCAACCACAAGGCAAGGAAGAAGACAAGTACAAGGCTCTGCTTTAATATGTGAAGGTTTTACATGTCCTGACTCAGTCACTGTCTGGGAATGTGATTTGTACTACAGCTTTTTAATAAAACTTACATTTTCCTTCTTCATTCCTGCACAGGACCTTGGTATCATCTGTGCTTTCAATAATTTCAAGAGACTCCCCTGGTTTAACTTGTAAGTCTTTAGATCCCCATCTTCTCTGGGGCAAATCCTTGACTGTGGTGGTAGAGTAAAGAACTTTAATTTCACCTTCAAACTGCAAAAATAAAGAGACACTGGTTAAAAAAGTCAATGTAAAGCTTATCATCATAAGATTTATTTATATAAATTTTATATAATTTCTATAAAATTTTTAGACCAATTTATTCCCATTTATTATTAAGTTTTTGGAAATCAGGCACATAATTTTTTATGCTATTTGGTATGTGTCCATGCTTGCCATTTGGATAGTTCACTACTTTTACAAGTAGTAATATTTTACCTTTTAAAGGCAAAATAATGGATTATTTACAAATTACGGGATACAAATTACAGGACACCATACAGATATTTTAGTCTTTACATTTTATGTGAACAAAACTTTGAACAAAACTTACTTTGAACTTTTTTCTGAACTCTTTCTCATCTTTTTCCATCCTTTTAAGCTTTTGTGCATCTTTTTCATCTGATTTATGTTTTCCAAAGCTTGCTGATTTTGATGAGCTAAAACAAGAGGTTAGAGATAAAATTAACAACACATCTGAGATATTGACAACATTTTGATAATTTCAGTGAAAATGCATTTGCCTTCATGTGTCTAGTATGTTTTTGTTGTTTTACAAAACTAATATGGATCATACAATACAGATTTGATTTCAAAAGAAAAAGTTAGTGTTGTCTTTCCTACCTTTTTAATGAGTTCTGATGTTAATATATCTATCGTATAACTGAATATGAAAAATTATTCCAAGTATTTAGCTGCTAGAGCAATGAGAACTTTACATCTACTAAAAATAGTTTAGGTAAATGATACCCATCACTTTAGAATCTCTAGGCAAGAAGCAATTTTTGTGAAGTCTGTATATCTTCGGGCAATAGGCTGTATAACACATGTCCCAGTGAGAAGGCAGATGGACCATCTTAGCCTTTCATACAGTAGCTGTGTCAGTCCTATGTGCCCATAGAAGACCTTGTTACACCAATAAATATGCATTACATGACCCGTGTCAAGTTCTGTTGCTTTTTCCACATCCCTGATACTGTTGTCTTGTGCGAATGAGCACAGAAAGGTTTCAAGCCCTAACTTCCCTTCCTGATGCTGTACCTGGGAATTTAAAGTCTGACTTTATTTTGATCCTTTCCTCCTTCGAACTGGATACACAGTTCAAAGAGCTCTGTTTCAACGTCTCCAGACTAGATTATTGTAGTGAACTCTATAGCTCCACCTGCGTGGAGTTGGTAACAACAGAATGTGACATGTTGCAGGCATCTTCACAGATGCATCTGTGCTTATAACACATCTGTGCTCCAGAGATGTCCATAACTTCCTGGTCCAGGGTTAAAAGTTTTCCATGTTGAACTTGACATCTCCAGATGTGTTTCATACTCATAACACAGAGTACTATCTCCTTTTCTCTTAAAATTCTGCAGCAGCTGAGATAAAGTGCTTATCCTAAGTCTCCAAATTTTATAGGAAGAGGACTGCATGCAGAGAATCTACAATGTGGTACCTTTAGGCCATGTATTAATTTCTACCTCTTGTCCATCAGGGACTGAATTTGTGGAAATTCTAAGCATGCTTATTTATTCTATAGTCTAATTATTATTTCAATCTGAAATGGAGGCAGGGAGCATTCATCCTCCATTGTCCACAGTAAGGTTATGTGAACTACAAAACCTGACAGCACCAAATAAAGCATACATATCTAGTAAATGCTTTTAAAATTTTTTACAGTGTATTACAGATTTCTAATCAGGGGAGTAATTCCCATTTTCACTTGCTTGATTTCAGGCGGTGGTGGAGGAAAGTCCGAAGAATCTACATCATCATAAACATCATCTTCACAGTCTGAAAAAATAGTGTTTAAAAAGATGGAAAATTATTATGTGATCCTCGAGTACTGAATACACTGTGTTATAATCTACAGTAGAGTATCTAAGCTGATCAGAAATTACAGCAGGTACTGTAGCCATTTACTGTCTGTTGTAACTGTGGGTTCTCTGTTTTGCACAATCTACTGTGCAAAACAAACACCACCCAACCCCTTCAGAATAAGACTCTTTATTAATATTAATAGGTATTCACTGATATTTTAATCTTCTTAAGCTGAAGCAAGTTTTAGCACATGTTGGCTAATGCAGTAGCCTTTAATCTTCATTTTAATTAGTCCATTTCCCACTGTGTTGCATCAAATTATATTTTTGGAGTTTGATTTTAATGTACACTCATGCACTTCTATAGCACTTTGGTCAATGCAACATTGCTTGGAAGTGGATATGAATCACATGTATGTTAGTTTTTAGGCCATCTTGCAGTGCCAAAGCAGTGAAAAGAATTCTTACCCCAAGAATATACTTTGAATCACATTCAGCATATTTGTAGAGAGGAAGCAATTGTTTAACTCATCAAATCAATGGCTAGAAATACCACAGTAGGAGATAAAAGTTTCCAAACTCAGTTCAGGCAACAACCTCAAAAATTGTAAGAACTTGCTTTCTATTCTATGGCTGAGCTGATATTTATATGTCACTGCAAGTGATAAAAATTACAAGGATCTCTTTATACTTTTGAAGTCTTGCATTAAGTGCTTCTTTCCAAGTGTATCTGTTCATAGGTAATGTCAAGTAAAATGAACTAGTGGAAATCTCACATAGAAAAATCATGACTTCTTAAAAAATACATTAATTTTTTCTCTAGAGAGCTTGCAGTGTATATGTATTTCTTTGACTGTAGCCAAACAAGTCACAATATTTGACATTTGTTTGCTGAAACTGGGTAAGCAATGGGATATCCTGTTTCCTTCCTTGGATGTATTTTTGTGACTAGCATGATACAGAGTAATGTATACAGAAAAAAGGATCAGGAATCAATATGGAGACTGAACAAGAGACTATTAATTACCTTTTCTAAACTGCTTTGTTGAAGGAGACATGCTGGAAAAAAAAATGTTCATTAAGTATTTATATCACATTAATAGGCTTTTGCATCATTTAAATAATTTTATAAATTTGCAACACAAGGACTCCAAGTAATCTCCAGACATTTTGAAGCTCTGCTGACAGCAGCAATACTCATGAACTATAAACTGGTTCAGAACTGAATGAGAGAAAGTGGTGGTAAAAACACCAGTTGCTGATCTAACCTCTAGGTGAGATGGGTAGAAGATCCATCCTAAAATTTGGATTAATGGGGCTAGATTGAATACTTCATCTGAGCTAGATTGTACTCATGAGCAAAGTACATTTTAACTGAGGATACAGCAAATTTACATCACCAGAGTGACGTGGTGATGATGGATTATTTTGCTGCTCTTCACCAAAAAAATTTTTGTGTATGTTTTAGTTACCAGACTTTTGCAATGAATACAGCTTGTTAAGACAATAATTATATTATGCAGGTGAAAAGAAAAGAGGTCAGTGTTTTTGCAGGAAAGTATCATCCTGAGCTGCAATTTGATGAGTGATTCATTAGGCTGCTGTCAGAACATGTTAGTAGCATGTGATCAATGGTTTATTAGAATTAGTTAATGTGCACTGTGATTTCCTGGCAGAATCTTACAACAAATCTCCATTATCTTCTGCCCCATTGACTTTGGTTGTTTTTTCTCGTACACTTTTCTTTTTGTCATCTTTGACCTTTAGCCTCTTCAAGATTCCCCAGGACCAGATATCATTCTTATCTTCATCCTGTGATACAGACCTTTGGAGTATGCATGTAATTATCACAATGTAAAATGTAACATTCATTTTAAAAGGTCCAGTTTAAATTCTTCACTGATGCATATAATTCTCATTAATGCCAACAATGTATATACCACAAGGCAAGGACACTTACCGGAAACCTAAACACTAAAATGTGAAACGAGAAATATGGATGTTAGGTCATTTGTAGATACTTAGATATATTTGTAGCTATAGATATTAATTTAGTGGCTTACTGTTTTCATGTTGTAACTCAGCAAGCTAGCATTCCATTTTGTTATTTTCATTTTAGAGCTATTCTGTTCAATTGGGGATTTGGGGATTTTCATGACTGCAGCTGCTTTTGCTGACATACCAAAATTAATTACAGAACAAAACTTCTCTAAAAGACCAAAGAAACATATTTTTTTAGCTTCATGAATCCATCCTGATGTATACCTACTTGCTGATTATCCTAATACGTGCTAATTATTGTCTAAATTAAAAGTACTAAAAACGGAAATGAAAACACTATTAAAGTAGCAAATTATATAAGTGATATAAAAACATACCTAGTTACAGTATTGTCCTCATCAATCCCATCATAAATTTCTTGATCAGAAGGAGGAGGTGGAAACATCTCTTTAAAGATCAAACAGTGAATTAATACATTTATATTTAATGCTGCTGAATAGGGTATTCACTACTGGCCTCTTAAGTATGTCCCATGTGTGTGCAGTTTGTGCAGTATACTTGCAAATGGAATCTTTCTGTAAACCAGCACAGTTTATTTATTAAAACAGTGATTTATACTTATCCCAGTTGGTTATGCCATCCACAGCATTTAAATGTGGCACTGCCAATCACAAGAGCATGAATACTGAAAACAAATGCATTTACACTGTATTTGATGAAATTCTAAACGACTGATTTTGGTCCAGTCATTATGATGACAACTTTTAAATTTTTGTATGTGACTCAAGTGATTATTGAAGATTTCAGACCAACACTCTCAGCAAATGACATCTTGTGTTCATCCACAAAAGCCAGAGGCAAGTGCAATGTAAGCTCCTCATTTTGGCCTCAGTTCTGACCTTTGAGCCTCACCTTCTTTAGTGTGGGGTTAGCTCAGTTTCCATGTCCAATTTGAGCCACTGGTCAGAGTAATCACTGAAATCTGTACTCTGCTGGCACCAGCTTCCTTCAGCACTGCCAGGGGATGCTTCTGCCATGACTAGTATCTAAACTCTAAGCTGAGAAGATGAGCTGTGCTCTTGTGATCAACAGAGAATGCTACATAAATATATGTGCTACCAAAGGGGAAACTGGTCTTGGCAGTGTGAAATTGCTGCAGTCATACTGGTTGGGACTGCAGAGTATTACCAAAACTGATGTTCCCCTTAACTCTGTCAGCAAAATGCAGCTGTAATTGGTAGTAATACTGGTTATTTCAGAACTGGATTTCTCCTGCATAAAACCTCTTGCTCATCTTAATATTTTGCCAATTATATCTGTGCTGGTTTGTAGGATGATTTACCTTAACACACAAAAAAAGTTCTATTATCTTCTGGCATGCTTCTGGTTCACAGCATCTGAAGACAAAACTTCTGTTTTGTCCAAGTTCCCATAGGTGGAAAGTAAATTTGGCCACTATACTTCCTTGTTTGTTGCCTGTTAGCTAACATATAGCATGCTTATGGATAATTAACTGCATTATTTGAAAGCTGCAGAGGTCTGTATTGGAAGGTAAGCAGTACACAGAAACAACTCTCCCCCCAAAAGTATATGTACAACTTACTTCCAGCTGCACTTTGACCACCACTCTGGCTGAAAAAGCAAACAAGAGACATTTTAGAGAAAAACAGTCATATATGGAAAAAGAAACCACCATGATCACCCCTCACTTTTGTAGTTAATAGTTCTAAACCTTTTGGATTTGGCACTCGTACGTTGCCAGCTGAGCAGCAAAAATACTGCACTGGAAGTTCAGGCACATGCTTGTGTCTTCTATATAGGCAACAACTAAATGTGCCATTTCTTTCTATGTGCCATTTCTTTCTTTCTTTCTTTCTTTTCTTTCTTTCTTTCTTTCTTTCTTTCTTTCTTTCTTTCTTTCTTTCTTTCTTTCTTTCTTTCTTTCTTTCTTTCTTTCTTTCTTTCTTCTTTTCTTTCTTTCTTTCTTTCTTTCTTTCTTTCTTTCTTTCTTTCTTTCTTTCTTTCTTTCTTTCTTTCTTTCTTTCTTTCTTTCTTTCTTTCTTTCTTTCTTTCTTTCTTTCTTTCTTTCTTTCTTTCTTTCTTTCTTTCTTTCTTTCTTTCTTTCTTTCTTTCTTTCTTTCTTTCTTTCTTTCTTTCTTTCTTTCTTTCTTTCTTTCTTTCTTTCTTTCTTTCTTTCTTTCTTTCTTTCTTTCTTTCTTTCTTTCTTTCTTTCTTTCTTTCTTTCTTTCTTTCTTTCTTTCTTTCTTTCTTTCTTTCTTTCTTTCTTTCTTTCTTTCTTTCTTTCTTTCTTTCTTTCTTTCTTTCTTTCTTTCTTTCTTTCTTTCTTTCTTTCTTTCTTTCTTTCTTTCTTTCTTTCTTTCTTTCTTTCTTTCTTTCTTTCTTTCTTTCTTTCTTTCTTTCTTTCTTTCTTTCTTTCTTTCTCTCTTTCTTTCTTTCTTTCTTTCTTTCTTTCTTTCTTTCTTTCTTTCTTTCTTTCTTTCTTTCTTTCTTTCTTTCGTTTTCACTACACTCACACTGATTCTCACATACAAATATTCAGACAGTTGCATTCTCAATAATAGTAATGAAAATTTGTCATCTAATTCATAACTGAACTAGCTCTTAGATGAGGAGAGATTAAATTTTAGTAGAATTAGGTAAAGCAGAAAAAGTGTACTTGTTTTGTTCACTTGGAAGTAATTAATTACAAATTAGAAAAGAGTATTTTAAAATATCATTCACAGTAATCCAAAGGGGAATAAAAGAGTTGTCAATACCATGTTTAGTAAATGTAAAAAAACCTGACAATATTTTATAAGTAAATCTGTGAAGCAAATTCTCTATTTGCATAAATCAATGCAGATATTTCAAGCCAGTGAACATGCACATTTTCATATGAGCAGAACATTCATTCCTAATTATTAATAATTGTTAGCAACTCTTAGCAATTTCCAATAGTCATCTTCAAAGAAATGCAAATTGATGTCTACAGCTATAACAATTCACTATGTTTAGAATATATTTATATTCCTTGATTGATATCTTTAAACTAAAGTGCAAAATATGACTTAGGATCATAGGATGATTCATATTGGAAGGGATCTGAGGAGGTCATGTAATCAGACTTGATGGAAATAAAAATATAACCTGATTGAACAGTAGAGAGTGTATGCACACCCTTTAGATTCTCCCTTATGAGGGGATTTCCTTGAGATGAAACGGTGAACAATGGTGAACAAATTAATCTGTTGCTCAACAAGCTTTCATTGGGTGATGCTTTAAACCTCTAACTGCACATTTCTAACATTTCAGGGATTCCATATTAGCCCAGTGTTCTAACAGTAATTGAAAAATCCTGATATGTTCACAGTAGCTCAGATTATTTCCAGTTCAGGGCCTTATTTAAACTGATAAATCAAAATATTTGTTCAACTCTTGTGCCTGGAAATCCTGAAATACAAAGGACCTAATCGCTTATTAATTTTGGAATATTAACAATACTACTGATAATAAGCTAATACTGTTTGGTCAAGAGGCTTTTATTAGTATGGCATTCTTACAGTGGTTTCAAAACATGTTGATGTATGTCAGACCTTCCAGCAATTCATGCTCATGAACTGAAGAGAATGCTATTAATCACTAGAGAAAATAAAAATGTCAAAATACAGCTTAAAGGATTTAATGAATCTGAGCTATTCATTCCTTCTTCCAAGTTCTTTACACTGTTATTTTAGTATTCAACAGTGTAAGTATTCTTGTTTGCTTTTGAATTAAAAAAAAAATTTCAATTACTTGCATTGAGGTGGCTAATTGCAATGCTTGCCATAGTGAAAAAGATTGGCCAGTGATACTTCTGCAACAAAGTAGGTAACGCTCAGAATACCTAAAACCTAGAACAACTAAAGTAACTCTTCTCACTAAGTCATGATGCTGAGATCAGTGATCAGGGAGGAAAACTGATATTGAGCAACCTGGAAAAATATCAGATGCAAAACTATGTTTGTTGCTTAAAGAATGCGGGCCTGAAGGCAGATCTTTCCAAGCACTGTTTCTGGAGCTCATGGAGATGTTCTAGCAGCTGAGGATCAGCTGCACCCAGCAGCCAGACAGCTGCAGTCCCTTTATTCCAGCCAGGCTTCTAGGTTAAGGTGCTGGGAAGCAGTAAAAAGGAGGTGTAGTGGCTGTGTGTTTTAAGACAATTGTCCTAGACACTGAAATCCTCTACACCCACATGCAGATCTCTTATCTGAATCCTGGGGTATGTGTTTCTGCACATCAGGACATGTAATGGAGAATGAGCAGTGGTTTGTTGCATCATATGACAGAAGCAGACTTTTCTGTGTGGTCAGCTAACAGAGGTACCACCATCATGTTGGGTCATGTCATAGCCTTGACCCTTGTCACGAGATCACTAGGATAATTCCCTGCCAGCAAGTCTGATATTTAGCTGAAGATGGCATTTCTCTAGCTGCAGATCTATTTAATGTGAAAAATATAGCACAGTGAAGTAGTGAGTCTGAAATGTAGCACTGCATTGCGAATACATGTGAGACTGTGCCATAGAAGAGAGGCTTCTGATAAAGTCAAAAAAATATAGCTCATACCCACCCTATGGGATTTTAGAGGCCTTATTTTAAGGATTAAACACATTAGACACATTCTTTTCTGAAGGGCTAACCTGATTATACTTCCAGAAGTCCCTTCTCTTCAGAGGTAGTAAGAATCAGAGTAAGACTCATAAGAGCAATGAGGGTGGCCAGGAGTTCCCCAGTACAATGAGTGTTTCCATTGCTGTTAGAGTCTTTTATTCTTGTTAGAAAAAGCACTATGTGACTTCAAAAGACAGAATAAGAAAAGAGAGGGAGGGAAGAGAATTACACTTCCTGCACATGATTTGTAATCCTGCATGTTTTGCATTTTGTTCTTTTTTGGACTGCAGTGGTGTAGGCCCTCTTCCAATAGTATAGATTCCTCAAATCTTAGAATCATAGAACCATTAAAGTTGAAAAAGATCTTTAATATCATTGATTCCTGAGTGCTTACAGATGCTGGATTCCAGAATCCATTCTTGTTTCTCTTGACTACTTCAGTCTGAATAGCTCAGTTACATGTGCTGTTCTTCTGTGACAGGAGTCTGTCGTCTTGTAAAATTTCCCTGCTCTAGGATAACTGGGGTGAATCATTGGTCCCTTTTCATGTGTTCCTTGTACATACCTGCTAATACTGTCCTGCTCTCCAATATCATCATACACTTCTTGATCACTCTCTGGGTGTTTCACAGGAGTTCTGGTTTGTTGCTTTCTTCTTAAAGAATCATAATCAATCTCCACCATGGTTGTTTTAATGTATCCATCTAAGTGAGTGAAACCATGTAATTAGGCAGAGGTAGTTTTAAAGCTCGTGGTAAATGGAAGAGTTTAACAGAAAATAAAAGAAAACTTTCAAAGAAATGTCTCATTCCAAGCAGCCTTAGCTTGAGTCTCAATCTGTCTACACAGATACAAATCTCAGATCTGTCTCAGATCTCCCCCCCAAACCTCCTCAGCTGGTGTCAAGTTAAATTCATCTTTATTTGCTTCTCCGCTGCAGCAGAAGAATTTTCTGCACAGATTCCATGAATCATGGGGCAAGCTCCCTTTCTCAGCTAACCCTGGGACCACTGCAGACTCCTGGCATATTTTAAGTCAGTCCATGACATAAAGATTCTGACAGATCATTAGGAGGGAGAGACACTGTTTGCATTGATTCTGCCTCAGGTTGGTAGAACGCTGCATCTGCTTGATATCCTCTTGTCTCTGGACCTTCACTAAACAGATCTGGTTATACCCTTGGGTGCAATAGCTCAGGAGAGACTTACAGCAGAGCAGTCTGCCTGAGATTGGGAACTCTGCAAAGGGGAATTTTAGACAGGCATACTGCATGTACAGAAGAGAGCATGAATGGATTTTCTCAAAGGTGAAAAATGCTAATGCATTTCTTGAAAATGGAAAATCCCCCACTTGGCTGCTTCTGAGTGAATCCAGTTTTTAGTGTGCTTCCCCTCAAATCTGTAACACTTGTTTTTTATTATTTGAATGATCAGAACTGATATTCCTCTGTTGTTTGGGCCTCTTCACAGACCATAACTGGCCTGTAAACAGTGAAGGCTGAAGCACTGGTGAAACAAACTGGGCTGTACGATAAACACTGGTCAGTGAGTAGTTTTGCTGAGGCAAGAATCAGTTTATGAAAAGTAAATTAATTAAGGTAAATTAATTAATTGACTGCACATGCTCAAGAAAATACCCTTCTCCCAGAATTCACCAAGATTTGTTTTCCTATGTACAAAATGATCCATTCAAAACACTTATTTACAAAACTTTAATGTATCACAGAAAAGGAAACTTACTTCTTGAGATCATCTTGGCCAATCCCTTTGCCCAGGCAGGATCTGCTACAGCAGGTTGCCCAGGACCATGTCCCATCAGGTTTTGAAGATCTCCATGGATGGAGACTCCATCACCTCTTTGGGCAACCTGTTCCCTTGCTTGGTCACCCTCACAGTAAAAAAATGTTTCCTGATGTTCAGACAGAATTTCATGTGCCTCTGGCACTGACACTGGGCACCACTGTAAAGTGCCTGGCTACATCTTTTACACCTTACTGTCAGATATTTATGAACAATTATAAAAGCCTACCTTCACCAGGCTGAACAGTCCCAAGTCTCTCAGCCTCTCTTTGTATGAGACACACTCCAGTTCCTTAGTGTCTTTTTACATCCAGTACTTCAAAGTGCTGATCTGGTATTGGCCAGTTCTACATGTGTGAACTGTCTTACTGAACTTATTGTCATTTTAGTCTCCTTGAAAATCAAGCGAGTGCTTTTATTAACTTTCTTTGATTTTATAGATCAGTCTTTTGTCTTTGCTATAACCCAGAAGCCAGATCTTCAACCCCTTATCATATCATAGATCCACTGATGGTGTTTATACAATTAGAGAAACATCTTGGATTTCAGATAAAATAAAATCTAGAAATCAGTTAGAAACTTTCCATAAGAAAAGGAAAAAGACAAACACTTAAACAGGGCCTTATATTCTTTGCTTCTATTGTAGGAACACCCATGTTATTTTTAATACAAAGACATGAAAAAATGTGATCCTTGTTACTTGCATGGAGGCAAGTTCTGATGAAGGCTGACATGGAATTATTTTTCAGTAGGTCTCTGAGAATCCCAACATATTGTTCCTAACTTATTCTAGTCCCCGTAGATGTTACATTATGTTGTACAATAACTTCCTATGAACTAAGCCTCACATGCCAGCTAAGGATAGGAGGGTGAGTTGTAACTGTTTACTTTGGTGGCCAGTGACTCAGCCTTGGTAAGTTTACTCCTTGGTGTAACGCTCACATGTTTGCTGTCATACAGTGAAAATACTCGGGATCACAGTGAAGAAACAGAACTCACAACATCCTTTTATCCTGCCCAGCCACTTTCCTTCTGGGTTGTCTCTGAGGCGAATGATTTCAATCTCATCACCCTGTTTGACAGTCAGCTCATTCTTCCCTCCCTTGTGGTCAACACAAGCTCGTGCCTGATGAAGGACTTGGACAGGTCCTGTTAACTGCAGAGGTGAAGCAACAGAAGAAATCACAGATGTGGAAAAATGGAAGTTCTTTCCCAAACATTCAGACAGAAGAGAAAATAACAGTAATGACGATTATTTGTTTCATTAACATTTAAAATAGTCTAGGCAAATAAACAGAAAAGTATCACTTCTGTCCCCAGTTATGTAGTTTAAATTAATAATCAGGAAAGAAAAGAGAGGGCAATGGGATAGCAGCAGAGCAGCTTAAGAAGTTACTGGCAAAATCACAGAAATATAAACACTAAACCCAAGAGGCTAACCCATGGAGCCTTTCACAGACTCCCCAAAGAGACTTGTATTTAATTCTAGTGGGCAGCTTCATGTAGTTCCGACAGAACTACTTGTATGAGTAAATGTTCATTAACAGAAATAAGTTCTGTGTTTACAATTCTACTCTATAAATGATCCTACAAGTACTCACCAGGGATGATCACACTGCTTACTGGAATTCTGGGTTCTCTTTGTGAGATCTTTAGTATATGTTATAGAGAAACCACTTAGGATATTAGTATCTGTGGGTTTAATATACATGGGATCTTGCAGAGGTATGTGGATTTTGACAATTATAGGCTAGCTCAGGAGTATCTAACCTGTATAGGTGGCAAAGAAATGGGAAAGAAAATATGCACTAAAATATATTTGTTTGCAGTTAAGAATAATAACATATTTTAATGGCCGCAAGAGAACAGTCTGCAGCCTGAAAGCATTCAGTGTGCTAATGCCTAGACTTCACAGGAGCGGTCTGAAAAATATACTTGAGGCCTGACAAATGCCAGCTAACCCACTATTATTAACTATTAGTATTTGCCTTTAATATTTGCTCCTTAACTCATGTCAGTCTTTCCACAGCAGGCCTAGGCTATGATGTGAGAGAATCATCATGGCTTTACTATGCACAAAGCATAATAGGAAGAAAAACAAAGCTGCTCACTATGTACAATGACAGTGAAAGAAGCACAGTGGAGTATTGTGAACAGGCATTCGTTAACAGAAAATGACTGGCAGATTTGCGAACTGTGGTAGCATGCTGACCACCAGCTATATAAAAACTATGCAGACCAGAAAGAACTGTCTCATCATTTAGCCCTTGTAACTGTAACTTCCCTACACATGCCCTATTCCCTTCCTCTCCATTTAGGCTGGAAGTCCTCTTAGGTTCCTTTAGACCAAGTCAAAGGCAATGTGGTGCGATATAATGTTGAAATCTCTTAAGGACTGAATTCTGTTGTATCTATCTCCAGTAAGACAAAACCCCACTAAGTATATGGAATTCAACTCCCACTTTTATTAAGGACTTCTGATGCTATTCTAGAGATATAAATGCTTTTTAAACAGAAAAGTGAAAGGAAATATTTTTAAGGCTTTTTTTATATAGAAAGAATGTGAGAAGGGAATTTAATGAAACCTACATAAGCACTGAAAAAAACCTTTGCCCCCAGTACAGAGCCTGAACTCAAGCATATGCCAAACATAAAAGAGCAGCTTAAATCTTTATTCAGAATTTATCTAGGTGCTTGAACTACCTACCATAACAAATAGTTTTGTAGCAAGCTGAAAAGTTTAGTTTGAACTCAACAATGCTTCTTACATGTCTGGCCAGATTATAAAACAAAAAGCTTACTTTGAACTTCTTCCTTATTTCCTGCTCTTTCTTTTCTTTTTCCTTTTGCTCTTTCTTCTCTTGGTCCATTCTTCTCTTTTCTTCCTTGTCCCGTTTCTTCTCTTTTCCCCTTGATGATCTGAAAGTGCATTGTCAGGACTGAATGTAGCAGTGAAGTAAATCTCACTGGAGTTTTCTTAACCAAGGTTAACAAAGAACTACATGTGATGGGAAAAGACTACTCCCAGTGAAATCAAAGTTCCAGTCTAAACTGTAGTATGGCTGCAACAGATAGAGTAAGCAGCACTTTATCTTATGTATATAATTTAAAGTGGCTGTCCTCATTAGGACAGCATGCCAGACAAGGTTGTCTGAAGATGAGACTGGCTCTACATGTGCATGTCCAAACATCTCTGAGCTAATTTTGTCAAGCAAGCTTGGAAACTGGTAGCCATCTAGTTGTTGTGGCACTGGCTGCAACTGTTAAATATTTACCCAGGCCATCAGTGCTTGATGCAGCCTGAACTGAAGCTTGAAGAGCCGCTGGACTGTGGTTTTAAACCTAAGTGCAACCTGTTCCAGCAGTCTACACAAATGACAGCTAGTCTTCTGCACTGCATTATAAATGTTCCTATCACACCAGGGTACATTGCCTGCTGTGGCTCATGTGCTGGATGGTACTGAGATCTGAGCCCCAGGATGTAATTAGGACTATAGCTACAGCTTTGCTGGAAGAGCTATGCTTTATAAACCCTATGGAACCAACTGAGTGAGGCTCCCTCCTTTTCCTTTTTTGGTCGTTTTGCAAAATTGCTATGTTCAAATTTAAAAGAAAGAAAAAAAAAAAGACTGAATGAGGATCACTTGTTTTGCTTATATAGTTTTAAAATTATCTTTTTAAAGTTTTCAAAGGGAATTCATTTTTGCTGAAATTCATTCTACATCTGAAACAAGGTATTTTTGTGTAAGAACTTTAGGCCATTACTTATTCCAAGGGAACTAGAGCTTTTCTGTAGCTATCACAATACAGTGAATCCCATACATTTAGACATTAGTGGCACAAGAGACTCCTCAAAATAAAGGGCTAAATGCAAAAGAATGAGCAGAGTTCATATTCTGGCTCTGTAGCTATTCTAGGGGACTCAGACCCTGAGAACTGTAAATCCAGCCTCTCATAGGAGTTCCAAGTGTATTTATCTAAAAAGTGAAAAAAACAACCACAACAAAAGATCTGAGGCCATAGTACCTAGGGGCTGAGCTCATTTTTCATCCTACACTGTAATTCCAAGCAGTGGTTCAGACATGTTCCTTAGATCAGAAATCAGACTTCTGTTATCTTCATCACAGTAACCACATGATTTTATTGCAGGAGTTTTCCAGCCCAAGGCATAGCAGATATAAGTAGGAAAGAACCTGTGAACAACCTGACTTTCTCTAGGTGAAATGAATGAACACAGTAATGCCTGACAGGGATTGCAGCGGAATCACACTTTTGTGCCAGGTGAAGTGTCTTTGTTAGCAAGCTTTTAGTAATAAAAATACAATAGGTTATAGAGTTTAAAATTACTACCTGATGTCATTTACATCTTCATACATCTCTCCATCACTTTCTTGGCCCTGTGAGAAAAATTCAGTTTTCAATTACTTAGATACATTTGGAAAGACATAAAGAAACTGGACCTGCTATGTAAGCCTCATATGAACTATATAAAAACATTTACAGCAAAATGTAAATACAAATAAATTTAAACTTCCCAAACCAAGAATTATTCAAACCCATATTCTTTTTTTCTGACTTTTTTTTTTTTTTTTTTTTTTTTCCTGGATTGTTACAATCACACTAGATGTTGTTAAATCCAAAGTTGATATTTTCATTGCTGTGTAAGCCCTGGAAAACCTTTATCTGTATTGATGATTGCACTGCCATGGTGAAGGTACCAGGGTTAGCAGTAGTTAAACTGGAATGCTAGGGATCTAAATGGGACTCAGATTAGGGTCCTGGAGACTTTTCTGGACCTAATATATCAGATACGTAAAAACACTGATACAAACCTGTGCTTAACTGAAACAAGTAGTTTATTACTAGAACAGAACAGGGCCCTTGCTTCTGGAAAAAATCTGTGAAATGAAATGTCTGTGGAGATAGAAGGGGTGGGTTTGCTTTTTTCAAAAATCACTTTTTGGTGTCTAGCCAGCTTTGATAATTAATTCCACTTGCTCTATTTACCCAGTTTTATGCCTGTTCTTCACAATAAGTAAGTGATTCTACAATTTACCGTCAATATATTGGATTATTTCTGCAATTAATTTTCTGGTGTGTTGAAGAGATTTTGCTAGATTTTTAAGTTTGTGCTAAAAAGGATACGTTTATAATGGAGGATAACACTTACCCCCTCTGTATTTCCATGACCTATATGACAAAAAATAAAACCAGGATATTTATTTTTTGCTGTACAGAAAACAATTTATTCTAGCCTTAACTATTTACAAACTGCTAATAATAACAATGAAATTAACTAGAAATACATGCAGGCTCCTGGCTTTCAATGAGGCTATGAATGCAAAAATCTGGTTTTCCAGATTGCTTTTGTAGTACACTGTAAAATAGAAATATCTACAAAATAGTGTATTTTTCCTGTGTATTTTTAAATGTGGAAAATCTGTTTTAAAGATTCTTTAGTGACTTTGATGAACTTACCTATGCTATTTGTTTATAAAAGTGCCTCTTTATACAAGAAAGTAATTGTTAAAAACCTAATAAATCCAAACAACCACAAAGAACTTGCTTGCACCAGCCCCACAGCTGAATAAGGAGGCCAAAGGCTCTTTTGCTAAACCCTGGGCTGCAGGAGAAGAAATTCTCAATCTCCTGCTTCCTCTTTACTCTGCATGTAGTTAGGTAAGAAAAGAGCTTGGGCTCAGTTTCAGCTCCACAGCCCACATTCTGTATGGCAGGGATGGCTAGCACACTAAACGATGCATACTGTGCCTGGCACAGACCAAGTCCTCCCAAGGAGAGATCAGAAGGCAGATTGAAATTCTTTGTGTCACAATCTGCTTCTCTGGCTGCTCCTGGTACAACATAGCAACTCACTGCCTCTTACTGAAGGCAGACCACAAAGCGACATTAAAAGCACAGTCAACAGCTATTTTTTTTGTCAAGTGTAAAACAAAGCCTCCTTCACCAGAAAACACAACTTCAATTCTGAAAGACCAGCATTCATTTTGGTTCGGATTTGACAATCTGGTGATTTACAGCCCCACCATATTTCTAACCAAAAAAAAAGGGGGAGAGAGAGAAGATGTCTAAAGCAGTTCTTGAGAGCCTGTCGTATTAATTATAGAACCATTAGTGTTATGAGACAACCATCTTCACCCATAAAACTGCATATCCAGCATAATTAGTTGCACAATATGCTTTTGCTTATCTTATAAATACAATATGCTTACAGCTTCTTATAGCTGCCATTAATTAAAATGTATGCATCTTACCTTGTGAAACAAATTCAACATCATCATAATTTTCTTCATTGTCTGGACTTCTGTAAACATGAAAAAGCGGACATGTGAAACCTATGAAGATGATTTTATGATTGCATTTTCATTCTCCATTGTTCTGGTGCTTTTTTCATCTATTTTTATACAATGGCTAGACAGTCTGTAGAGCCCTTAAGTACCCACAAGATGCCCCAAATATTTTTTCCTGACTGCAACTTGTTTTTTCACATGGGAACACCTTGATCCTGAGTACAAAAGAAGAAAATGAGCCAAAGACACTCAGATACCCTGGATGTGAGTGTGGTGTGAAAAATATAATAGGCAGATGGGTGACTGAATGGAAATAATCTGTTGGGCTTTTTAACCCTCTTTGCAGGTGCAGGCTGCTTACATGGCACACAAGCAGAATGATAGACTTTTGTTCAATGTTAAATATAGCTCTAAGGCTTGCTCCTTGACTTGTAGGGCTCAAAGTCTAAATATGGGACAAGACAAACAGTGGTATACGGCCAGGTAAAAGTGCTCAAATATTGTTAGATTTAAAAGTGCTGTCAACGTGAGGGAAGCAAAAAAAATGAGAATGTAACTAATAATATCAGGGGCTTTTAACTTTATAATAACTCATGATAGTTGAAAGGAAAAGAAAACTAGGGCAGATATCATCAAATGCATGTAATCAAATAAAGGATTTGAAAGCATAATGTGATGATTTAAAATTGGCTTGTCGGAGAAAGCACCAACACAGGGTGAAAGAAAAGGTGTCAGCACCCAGGCACACATTTTCAGCGGAGGGGATTGTCCAGAGGGCATGTAGGAATGGGAGAGTGGACGGACAAACTGGAGGTAAATTTCGCAGGTAATTTCGCAGGTAAGTAAGAGGACAGGCTTGGTTCCCAGGCAAGGAGGGTATCCGTGGGAGCTCCCGCCGGGCTGGTGGGGCAGTGACGGCAGCTCCCCTCGGCGGACCCTCGCACAGCAGCAGCGCTGGGCTGACGGTGGGGCAGCACCCATACCGAAGTACAGCATGCATGCCCACACACACCTCTCTGATGGCTCATACATTCTCCCTGTCTGCCGTTTGCTGCTGTTTGCAGTAACTGCTGGCCGGAGAGCAGCTCGTTATCCAGGCTCAGCTCGTTTCTGGTCAGTTTTGACACTAGACCGAAGTGCTTTCAACTCTGTCGCTGGGAAGTTCCCCTTTTGGACGCAGATCTTCGAAGAAGGATAAAGAAAGGAGCCCTGTATGTAATGGAGGCTTCTCAGTGTTATCACAACGTCCTGGTGCAGTTTTACAACCTGCGCTGAGCTCGGTAGCTCCAGCTTTCAAAGCTGCTTCCTGGGGTATCGACTGACAGACCTGATCCTCCTGGCCCTCTTCCCCCAGAAAAATGCAGGGGAAAGCTTCAGTTATTGATACAACTGATTTTGTATCATCAGCATATGAATGAAGTCTTTAGACCCTTCTGCAGTAAAAAACCCAGCAGGACGTTCCCTCTCCCCTCCCCTTACCAAAAAAAAAAAAAAAAAAAAAAAAAAAAAAGGGGAAACAACTGACTGGATAGATGGTTCAAACTAATAAAAACTAATTCCAAATAGACAAAGGCCAGGGTAGAACAAGGAAAGTGGTATCGGACCTCACTTCCCCAGAAAATTGGGACACCTGCAGCCTTAATCTGCTGCTGCATGAGCAAAGAGAAAGATGAGAAAATAAAGACCTTGAGGTTCATGCTCACTTACATTGTTTCAGAGCTGGGCTTGATGTTTCTGGGAGGCAGGCTGGGAGCTGCTGGGGTCTGCAGGGATGGGTGAGAGGCTGGAGGAGGAGGTGGCAACTGCGTAGCAGAATGTGGTGGAGGTACAGGTGGGGAGAGTGCTGCTGAGGAAGGTGCTACCTGTTTCAAACTTTCATTTTTAGGGCCTGGAAAAAAGAAGAACAGATAATTTATCAAACAAACAGCTGAGGAAGTAACCTCATTGTTTATACAGAGTATTAAAATAAAATTCTGCACACACTAAAGCAAATATATTTTGTTGAACCTGCTTCTTTGGTGCCTTATCTTACCAGAGTAGAGAGGCTCTGCAGAGAAGAGTACAGCCTATAGAAGGCCCTGGAAATGTCTTTGTAAGACATGAACAAGGCACACAAACATCAGTTCATCCAGTATGTAAGCTCTTGTGCTTTAAAACTAAATTATCATTTAGTTCTACAATTTGCTTGAAAAGACAACTGCAGTTTCACATGAGCACTGATGCAGTCTTGATGGAGTTTTCCTTACTCAGAGACAGCATTTCAAGTGAAGGGATGAGGAATAAAAATATATTTTGACATTGATTAAGAGGTGTACAGGTCTCTGTACACTGTCAGATATGTTTGTAATAGACGTTTTAAAAGGCTGGACTTAATTTTCTAGCACATTCACACAGAAAAGTGGCAGTTTGAGAAGCTGCACAGAAGCTACACCCTCAACAAACAGGTGCAGCCTTAAAACCAAGATGATGCAGTGTGCCAGGCACAGAGCCCTAATTAGATGAGTGGGCTGGTGTGCATGTGTGCTGCACGGAATTCTTGTTCAGTGTACAAGCCACAACCAAACCATAGTAACCACGGCCTTGAGAGTTCACGTTGAGAGAAGTTATTCAACACAACCAAATGAAATCATTGTTTGGATGCCATGATGTTAAACCTAGAATTTTGTTTCAAGTATGATGACTGGATTAAAGCTACCTAGTGGAAAAAGCTACCCAGAAAGAATTGTCTCCAGCTGTAAGGAGAGAAGTCCAACAAAATCTAAGGAAGAAGAAAGCAGAAGGAAAAAGCAAATTCACAGTTCAGTTAAAACCAATTACAAGCAAAAAGAACCCCCCTTGTCTTCTGGAGATTTTTTTCAAGTTCACACCTGTATAATGGAGATTAAAATCTTGTCAAGAAAAAGAAACTTCCACCACACTGGAAAACAAGTGGTTTAAATTTAAACATAGACCAACAAATATGTAGCAATGCTTAATATCAAGACTGAAAGTTAAAGAAACTACTGAAAGAGATTTCTTTAGTTGCTTGGGAGTCTACAATTCTGTCCTTGGAATAGACAAGAGAAGGGGAGTCAATAATTATCAGAAGGACCTCTCATTTGTCACATGGAAATGAAATTAAAATTACCAAGTCCTGACAGTTTTTCTGCTTATTAACAAAAAACTCAAAAATTTCTAGATAAATTTTGCTTCATAGCTGCTTGGAGCAACTTGTCAACATATATGTCAACAACAGTGCATTTGAAACATATTGAGTTCATCCGTTACTCAAACAGCAAAGTACAAACATTGCTGATTGCACAGGTGAATTCTTTAGTGGTGAAATGCTGGGGTTTCACCCCCAGGCCCAAAATCAAGGTTGACATACGGGTGATTCCCACAGCCCTTCCCAAAGGGGGGGTGATTTTGCCTTTAGGCTTCCCTCCAGGGTGTGGCGGCCTTGCAGGGAGAGCCATTGGGTAAATGAGCCCCAGGTGTCTGCATTCAGTAAACAAGGGTCAGGTGTCCCACTGAGGGATAAAAGCTGGGACCACTTGCAGGAAGGGGCAGTGTCTGTCTGTGAGGTGGAGGTACTCTGTAGAGTTCCCTGTGGGGGAAGGACCTCCCGCCTCCCTGGGACTGGGCTCCAGTCAGGTCTGGCCTTTGTAAGCGTGGGCTGTGTAGAGATTCAGTGTGTGGCTTCCTTGGCCTTATGTGTTTGGCTTGTTGACTTGGTTGTCTCCTGCCCTTTCTATGGGAGACTGCATTTCACCATTTATCCCACCCATTGTTGGTCATGCAGTGTTGTTGTTGGGGTCAGTGGGATTGAAGCTGATTATGTATAATCTGACTTGTTTGTTCCCCCAGCACTCACCCATGTACTGACCCTTTTGTATCAAATACAATTGGGTTATTGGTTCATCTTTATGCTGGCTGTGTCCTTTAGGCTAGGCCTGATAATTGGCAAAACAGATGGTTTTGTTGAGGAATATTTGTTTTGCAAAAGCAGACCCTTACAATTTAAGATATGCTAAGATTAAAGTTGTATGGTATCACATATCTTTTTATTCACATAACTTTCATCATTTTATTAAAAAGGATATCCCCCAAGTCAAATTAAATAATCCTTTTAATCAGTATTTAGGAGGCTACAGCATGGTTAATGTCTTCCAGCTGTATTGACCCCAAAAGAGAAGAGTAAGAATGACTATAGGTCTAGAAAACATGAGTTCCTGGAGATATTGAGGAAATGGTGGTTTTTTAGGGAAATATGGTATGACTGAAGGAAAATGAAATGCATACCTAAGTCTCCAGCAAAGAAGAAAGGGGTAATTATTTTTTTCTTAATTTTCATGGTAAAGAAAGCAAGAAGTAATGTGTTTAGAGGTCAGCAACATTTTTTAGGAGGCACTTTCTGATAGTGAAGGTGGCATTTCCATGGCTTCAGGTCGTTGAAGTAGGATAAATTTATGGCATGAATAAGTTCTAGTACAGTTGTTCCATGCTGACACATAGGCATGGATCAAACAACTTCTTTACATCCCTTCCAGTTCAATGACATCCTTTGTTCGTTGTCCTATATTTTACAAGACATCACATTTAAAGTACTTACCCCTATATTGAGCACAACAGCTAGAGATCTGCTAAAATATCATTGTAGCTAAAACTTGTCTTCCAGAAAGATGTCCCACTTGTTTGAAGATGAGAGAAAGAATGTACCGCTACAGAGTTTGTTTGGCTAAATTGCTCACTGTTAAAATCTGTATCTTAATGTTTTGTGAGTTCATCAGGCTTCAGGTTCTATTACTTTTATTTCTACCTTTGTTTACTGGATCAAGAGCCTTTTTATAACCATTGTTTTCTACCCATAAGGTATTGATACCACTCAACTTGAACAATATCTCAGATTTCTTTTTGACAACTTTAAAGACCTAACCTTTTTAATATCAAGGCATTTAATTTTTTCATCTAGCAATTAATTTGTAGCTATTTCTGTGATTTTTCCAATCTTTCCAACATAGTAGAAGATCTGGTACTGGAATTCTACACAGCATGCACTTGTCTGCTACATGCAGTGATGAAAATTACAAGTCATTCTTCATCTGGCCATAACTCTACTGATTGCATCCAGGGGGTTTCAGTATTTTCTCCAATTGTCACTCACCTCTCCTGTTTGGAAGCAGAGACACCTGAATATCAAACTAAGGCACATTAGCAAAAAGCTTTTATTCAAAAACTGTGTAACTATATGAAGATTCCTTAAGGGTAAAACTCCAAGACTTTAGGCTTACAGGCTGACAACCATTATGCATTAGACATTGCTGTCACATCATTGTCCTTACTCAACTGTAGAGCTGTTTATGACATTTAGATTTTCCTCCAAGGCATTATTATACTATCTCTTTTCTCAGGTATGGTTTACATTTCTTCATTCTACATGTATATTTGTGTTTGAGTAAAGAAAAATTTTGTTTAAATGAGCCAAGATTACACATGATAGTGCTCGTGTTGTATCAGAGTCTCTGAGGCCTGTGTGCCTGCATTTAACTCTTCACAGTCTTTATTCATCCACAGACTGTCAGCTGTAATCTCTTACTGTTCAAAAATCCATGATGAATAACATTGAGCATGTATTTGCAGTTGAATTCTTTTGAGCACATTCTAATCCAAGAAAGAAGACAGAGTGGTTTTTTCCATGTTAATTTGCACTAATTATACTCTGAAATTTTTGTGTTTTAACAGGGAATCCTATATCAGCTTTTCTGTCATTATATTTATGTTACCCTAATACAGTGTTGCATGTATGCACAATGTGCATACATGCATTATGTCATCATACAGTGTTACTTCATTGTGGTTACTTTGTAGGTCTAAGGTAAAAATTCTGCCGAAGTCTCTATGCATAATACTTCTTTCATCTGATGTCTCTTTAGAACCAAATCCAGACAATAGGAAACTGAGCCAGGAAAAGACACCACATACATTTTAGATTAAGTGCTTATTTTTAAGTATAAGGCCTGAACAACCTGTCCCTTTTAATTTATGTACACTTCTTGAATCTAATAATAATAAATCATCATCATATTAATGGAAACATTGCTTTTTTATTTTCTAACTATTCTGACGCTTACCTGCCTTTGGAGTTATAATTACCTACACTTATGGCTGAGACTAATGTGGATGTAAATTGATTTAATTCTAATACTGAAAATAACGGGGTGAGTTAGGTAGAGAGGTGACACTCAGTATGAAAAAGCTGTTATAATCAGACCTGCAGAGCCAAAGCTATCATAATGTTTCAGTAGTTTTTTGTTTCCTATTTTAATGGAGGATTTATTTTTTACTCCAGTTCCATTTATGTCTCTCTTAAGAAATTTCATAGTCTGAGGACATGGAAAGGCTCTGTGTGGGTAGTAGAACTGAGGTCAGCTCTGGACACTCAGAACAAGAAATCAAATTTAAACTACATTTTAGATTCACATGCACCCAAAGCACTCTCATCACAGGAAGCAATAAGGACCATCACTTTGTGGTGGCTTTGATCACTAACACCTCAGTTTCCAAATAACCTCTTCTCCTTTCTTGGGACTTAGCTTTTTTCATATGCTGTGATGCACTTAAGAAACAGATGCAGAAACTGAAGCTCTTCACAAAGAAATGAAAGAACAGATGAAAACGAATGAGTTCCTCAAAATCTGTACAGCTGTATAGCATGTAAGAGAAACTTGCCATAGAAACTGTCCATAGAAAGTAACAAATTTCCCATTATACTGCTGCTTGTTGTGTTAAACTTCCTTAATAACACCCAGAGCTTCAGAATTTACAGCAGAACTGTGCACAGAACACTGCAAACACTTCTCTTGTGTTCTTGGGGAACTATCTCAAACAACTTCCATGCATGCAGTGACC